AGAACCCTGTCAATTCCTATCTCCCATGGACCGTGAAGCAACTCTCATTCGGTTTAGGCTTCAGGCTTAGGGTTTAGGGTTTAGGGTATGGGCTCCTAAACCCTAAACCCTAAACCCTAAACCCTAAACCCTAAACCTTTAGGGTCTGGGCTCCTGCAACCACGTGGCCCCTTCACCCCAAAGCGAGGTTTAGGCTTCAGGGAAGCGTAGAAACCCTGGGGCCTGAAGCCTAGTGCTTGCAAGGGTGTAGGGTGTAGGGTCCAGGTTTTAGGGTTTAGGGTTTAGGGTGTAGGGTTTAGGGTTTAGGGTTTAGGGTTTAGGGTTGGGTAAAAACCCAACACCTCTCTTCTGGTAACCCTAACCCCTAAACCCTAAACTCTAAACCCTAAAGAAAGCTGCTGAGAGGCGGCCTGCGAGTCTGGGAAGGAGAACAAGTTTACCAGAGGACCCGAGGGTTTTTAGGGTTTAGGGGGTTCCCCAGTTTAGGGTTTGGGGTTTAGGGTTTAGGGTTTAGGGGGTTTTAGGGTTTAGGGTTTAGGGGGTTCCCCAAGCGGTTCCTGAGACGGTCCCTTTTCAGGGAAGCTTGTGGGTACCTATAGAGTTTTAGGGTTCTGTAAGCTTTTCTAGGGTAAGGGGCTTCGGGTTTAGGGTTCCGATTGGTGGGCTAGTTTCTCAAGGTCCCAGAGTCGCGAATTGTAGGGTTACATAAGCCTGCTAGAAGAGTAAATAAGGGTTATCAAGGTCCCAAAGATTCCAAAAACCCGTTAGTTAGAGGAATGTGTCTTACTCCATGGTCGAGCGATACTTCATACTGTTTTAACGTCATGTTCCCAAATGAAGGTTTCTGGAGTCACTGGGCTCCAACCAAACTTTAGGGTCTTTGCGATGCATAGGGTCGCACCGTTCAGGGTTCGAGGGCTTTTGAGTGGAGGGTTTTGAGGTGTAGGGTTTAGGTCCTAGCTGAAAGGCTGCGAGTTTCGAGCTATATTGTGGTGCCATGTTCCTGGTTTCCAGTGTGGGTTCTTTCGGCTGCATTAGGCCTACTGTACATGGTTTACTGAGGGCTTGCTTGAGAGATATTGGAACTTCGATTGTTCGAGAGAGACCGTCAATGTCCAACTGTGCATCTATGCCGCAATCTCTGAACCCTAAAACCCTAAACCCTAAGCCCTAAGCCCTAAACCCTACGCCCTTTGCCCTAAGCCCTAAACCCCCAAGCCCTAGGCCCTAAACCCTAAACCCCAAACCCTAAGCCCTAAGCCCTTAGCCCTTAGCCCTGCTGCTGAGCCATGTCCGAACGGGAAGGACTGCATCCTACCGGGGCACCTGATGTAGAGGTCAAAATCATCAGTAATATCTCCACATCGGCACAATATACATGTACCATACTGTTGATGATGTAAATCCTGCGTTTCGATATGGACTCTAAACTCTGAAATTATGGTATATTCCTTATTTTTGGGTAATGCAGGATTTGTATCATCATCCGTAGCATGCACCCAAACCCTGTTCTACTTACCAAGGGTGCCTAGAGGAATGTGCTTCCTTCGGCGCCGAACCTTTTGGGGTTCGAGTTGAGAACTTAGAGTTTGGGGGGGTTTGGGGACCTGGCATCTCTTCTGGGTTCGGGGGTCTCATAGTCCCCTACACCCCTAAACCCCCATCAACCCTCAGTATGTAACTCTCTTCACCAGCTCCAGCATGATCATGTCTTGGAGGCCACATGAAGCAGCTGATGGATGAGATCCTCAGATTCTGGCCGGAGAGACTAGCAAGACTTTTCGTTTTAGTTGTATACAGTGTTTCGTTGGGTAGAGTGCGGTGATGGGAACCCTAAACCCTACAGTAAACTCCCTGGAAAGATTGGGTTTTTTCTGCAGTAGGAACGAGGCGCAACAACAAAACCGAAAAGCGCCGGGGTATTTCTAGAGATTCCCTGCGCCAAGAACAGTGGAGCTTGCGTTAGACACCTTTCCCGGCCACGGCTCAGCACATAATCTTTTAAGGGTGTGGGGTTTCATTATAAGGCATCAAATATAGGTTGTTGGCCCTCTGCTGGATTTTCACGGGTACGAAATTGATTTTCCATGCTCTGCTACATGAAATACATGTATGTCAATGCCCGGTTATGCCGAAATGAAGCAGTGTCTCATGAGTTGTTATTCTCCCTTCTCAGTGCCTTGCAGTACAACTTTTGCAGATCTGCCCTTGCCAGATTTATGCCTGCTTCCACGAGCACTAGCAGTACCACCACGACCACGTCGTTTACTGCTTGTTATTGTTATTTAATGTTACAACGATGGGCAGTGGTAATTGTCCCTGCTGGTCCATGTAAGTCTGTAGTATGTACTTGAATATTTGGGAACAAAGGGAATCCTGCATCGGTACTTTCGGGATAACTGCATGAACTCCATGCTGGATGGCTACATGGTCCCTTGGGGTAGTCATGCACATGCTGCCTGAGCGATGTCAGGAAAAGAAGAGGAGCTGCAGGACACGGTCGAACCGTTTTTCGGGTGTGGGGTTTAGTGATGATTTCGGACTATGGGCTTTAAAGCAGAGGTTTGGGCGTGAAGTTATCGGGCTTCGGGGACATGAGTAGTACTACTGTCCAGGTTCAAAGGGTTGCGTTGATACGGTGGTTGCCTTTTTGGATTTGTGGGGATTTTGTATCGTGGAGGTCCGAAAACGGGATGCAATTTAGAGAGGCGTTTTTGTGGAGGAAAGGTTTTCATGGCGTTCAGAGAGACTTCGAGAGTTGCAACAGGGTTTTATTGGGTTTGTGTTTGGCTTTGGTCGCTTTGAAAGTCATTTATATATATATATATGTATACATATATATATATATATATATATGTGTGTGTGTGTGTGTATGTCTGTCCATATATTCATACACTCCTCAACATATATATATATATGCAATTACGTAATTTCTCAAATAACAAGCATATATACATGTAGCGAGAGTGCTTGTATACATGTATATATATAAAGAGAGAGAAACAACACGAGAGAGAGAGAGAGAGAGATGTGTACATGTCGGCTGCCAAAAGCATGTTTACCGGACTGCTCCTGGGCATTCTATACCCCATCTAAGCTGCATGAGTACTTACCTGGCAAGGCTCTCGTTTTTTGCTCTTCGAATCCCCACAGGCAGCTTGACGTTTGACTGCAGTTCGTCTACACTGAACCCAAGAAAGTGCAAACACATGACTGAAGGATGACTAGCTTCAGGATTCCCTATACTTTACCATAAGGGCCTCAGGATATTAATGTTCCAACTTTCTGGCTTAGATAGATGTATGCTGATGGCAAAAACAGCTGAGATGTTGGATCTAATCTGGGGCATGTTTACCCAAAGGGTCCATGTACCCAAAAAGGTCCATGTACCCATATATAAATATATATGTATACATATATATATATATATATGTATATATATATATATATATACTTTGGCCTGAATGTAGTCCCTATATAGGTACTTTAGGGCCATTGCTCTACTGTTTGAGTACATGGACCCTTGGAGGCCAAAATTCAGAGCGGCATCCTTGGCCTCAGAATGCCAATGACCAAACGCTATGTAAACCTAATATATAGGGCAGGGGATTCGCACCCAAACACGGCTTTGGGTTCCGTGGTTGACGTTCACCCAGTCAAGGAACACGGTATTTCAAGCACAGCCAAAGCCAGAGCAACAATGCTCTGTACATGAAGTTCAGGGACTCCTGTTAAATCCTGCTAACAACCTCAATCCTGATAAAGTTCAATCAACACCGAACCAACCTCAAAAGCTTTACACAAGCCACGTGAGATCATATACAAACCGCATATGCCTCTTGCAACAAACGTAGAAAGAGGCAGATCAAGTCCGCATGCACGTCCAAAAACCTCTTATATAACTGAAACCCTACTTGGAGGCCCGGGGGACTTAGTAAGTAGGTTACAAGTAGAGTTATAAGTACCCTAAATGGAGTTACCCCAATTATAACCCCATTTATAACTGACTTACTAAGTCCCCCGGGCCTCCAAGTAGACCCGAAGCTCCATGAGGACCGCGAGAAGGACCACATCGTAGAGTTCCTTATGGCCCCTTGGTGAATTTTCGGGTTTAAGGTTTAGGGTTTTAGGGTTTAGGGTTTTAGGGTTTAGGTTTTAGGGTTTAGGGTTTTAGGGTTTTAGGGTTTAGGGTTTGGGGTTTAAGGTTTAGTGTTTTAGGGGTGCTTCAATGAATCGGGTTTCGGGTTTGCGGCTCGTTGAAGGTTGCTTGAAGCACTCTTTAGCCTGAGCTTCACCCCCATTCGGAGCTTCTTGTCGCTTAGGATCCCGATTAAAGGGGTTGCTTATTATGCCAGCTGCATTCTCCGAACGACCACCCAAAGACTCCAATATCGCTTACTTAGGGAATATACCTTAAATTATAGTAGGATCCCTAATATTATTTAAGGTATATTCCTTAATTGAAGGATATTGGAGTCTTTTGGCAGTTTATACGACACTTCCAGAACGCGGCCTGCACAGTATGACAACCCTTGCTTGCTTCACCGCCCAAGTTGTCAGTGTCGCGTCTTTGCTTTCGCTGCGGGGAACCTCCACACGCACCACTTGAGGGATCATGGGGCATACCAAACCCTAAACCCTAAACCCTAAGCATACCCAATAGGGATATGAACATGGAGCATACCCAATAGGGTTTAGGGTTTAGGGTTTAGGGATATGAACAAGGCAACCTTACAGTCTCTATAGCCCCAACTAAGGCATGCATAGCCGTACCGACTAAGTCCGATGAACCCCAAGCAAAAAAAGCCAAAAGAAGCCAAATAAACCCTATAAGCCTTCGAGCAGACCCTGAATCCTCAGTCCTGAGAGGAAGAGCTCCCCTAAACCCCAAAACCCTAAACCCTAAATCCTCAGTCCTGAGGAAGAGCTCCCCTAAACCCTAAACCCTGAGTCCTGAGGAAGAGCTCCAGAACGAGGAGAACAGCAAGCTTGTGGACAGAATGAAGCTCCTCGATCCGACAAAGCCCCAGTGATCCAAGAGCCGCAAACCTCGACCCTTTACACTCATAATACATATATTAATATGTGTGTATATATATATAATATTGATATGTGTATATAGTTATATCTGTGTATATATATATATATATGTATATGTATATACACCTACACATTTAACTTTCGTGAAATATCCACTCCTTTAAAGAGCCCGGCCCTGCACGAAAAACAAGCCATCGGACGAGGTACATGAAGTTGCACCACGCGCATGACCACGTGCAGCTGGACGATGTGGTGCAGCTCTTCGATCACGATCGGCAGAAGGGCATGCTCGAGAGGATTTTCCGTGACGACGACTTCCAGCAGAAGAAGCAGCAGTACCTACTGAAGAAAGATGCTTCAGAAGCAAGAGACCTGCAAAGAGCACAGCCAGCAAAAGCAGAGAGCACCAGCCAGCAGCCCATACTGAGCAGCAGCGCGATCGGCAAGGGAGAAGACCTTGTCCATCCTGAGGCGGGCTTTCCATTGCATCCAGAGTCAGTTCCTCTATGGGTTCTATAAGGGTAAAATAGTAAGGTGCCAAACAGACCTAATATAGTGGCATAGATAATTATCTATACTATTTTGGGGGGTTCCTTATTGTAACTATAGTGTAGTGGGGGCCTAAAGCCCTGTTCTAATTTTAAATGCTTCGCGTCGTCCGCCTCGGCCCGGCCGTATGCTGGTAGGAAGATATGATGCCAGGTTTTTGTTTTTGCGCTCTGGTGTACTGGAACACTTTGGCTGAAGTATACAAGTCGCGGCAACCTGAGCAGCCAAGCTGTTCAAGCAGTCTGGAGATGGCGAGAAGTAGATTTGGTTTCGCGTTATTTTGATAGTATATTCATTTGGGACTGCATGGGGATACGAGTGCAGCTTCAGCCCTCATCCGAAGCCTCACTTCTGACAGACACGAGACATATAATCTGCGACGCAGCGCACCCGAACCTGAAGAAGCATGCTGGTCAATAATGAGGTCTCTGGAAGCAGAGGCTAACCGAAAGGGGCGGACGTAGGGGGGTTACGGGGGGTGGGGGGCCACGGGGGGGCGGGCTCATTTATGGGTTCACCCCGCCTCCCCGATAGCTGTCACTGGGGAGGGGATGCAGAGGTGGGGAATAGAGGGAATCCGAATAGGAACCTCTGACCGTTTCGGCCGGGGCCGAGGCGAATTGTTAAGGCCTCTACATTACATAGCAAAGGTTCGGGTCGGCACTTTACATTTTGATCTCTGGCTGGGCCGGAGCTCTCTGAGACCCGATAGTAGATTAGAAGTATAGCATACTATTCTTGATTCTGTTTAAAACGATTCTCTTGCCTACTATAGATATTATAGACGTAATAGATTATTCTTAGTGCTACCTTGGACCGCTCGGCAACTTTGGGGGGTCCTATTTCGGCTCCTTAGAGCAAAATGATTTACGTTTTGAGCATTTTTGAGCAGGACCCGCACGGTATGGGCGGGGATACCCTGAACCTAAGCCTTCAACATAAGACTGTGATATTCCGAATGTTCAACATGGGTGGTTTTTGGTCTGAAGAGGCTTGTCAGGTTTTGGGGTGTCTCTCTATGCCCCCCCAAAAAAAAACCAAAGCCGAAACCCTAAACGCCCTAAACCCTAAATTACCACGAAACACACCAACGACTCGTTGTATCGGATGCGAGTTCGTAGGTCTGTTATGTTAGACCGTTAGATAACTAACCAACACTGTCTGTTAGTGGTAGGATTTAGATATTAGTGTCCGGATGTAGGAAGCAGTAAGGATGTAGGAGTGCAGGTAGGTGTTCTCAGTCAGGATTTGAAGTAGGTTTAGCTCGGTTCCGAAGCCCTGTACCTTCCTCAGAAACATACATCTGAGACACCCTAGCAAAACCTGTAAACGCTAAAACCAACGCGTCAAAAATGTCCTAAGCCCTTAAACGCTTCAGCCCTAAACCCCAAAACCCCAAAAACCCGAAACACTAAACCCTAAACCCAAAACCCCAAACCCCACCCTAAAGATAAGAGCCGAATCCTTGAAGGCTGGAGCAGCCTCGAACATGCCCACGGCCAGGGCCTCTCCAGAGGAGATTGTTCCTCGGATGACTCGGGTTTGTGCTTTAGGGTTTAGGGTTTAGGGTCGGTGTAGGGTCTAGGGGTTTAGGGTTTAAGGTTTAGGGTTTAGGGTCTAGGTTTTTGGCTTTAGGTCTTGTTCGAGGCTTCGGGGACCCAAATGACTTGAGTTTTGTGTTGTTGGGGATTTTGTAAGCTTACTGACTTACTCTTTGAACGCCCGAAACCCTAAAGCCGAAACTCGGGCACTTTTGAGGGGCATGAGTTCCTGAATTCGATGACGCAGGGATCCTCCGCATCGAAATGTGGGGGTTTCAAGGCTTTCAGGAGCTGGAGGATTCTCAGGGGTTTTGAGACATGAGGTTTGCCTAGGGTTTAGGGTTTAGGAGTCTACCTGGCATGTCTCCTAAAGCTTGAACTACTAAAAACATCGGAGACAATATATAGATACAGGTCTGGCGGCTCGACGTCGTGTAATTTGGTGTTTGGGCATCATAAGTAGGCCCGCGACGCACGAACCACTCTCCCAATAGCCGAATTCCACTATGTGGGCTATTGTGGGCCTACTATAGAAAGGCGTTGTTTTCAATCCGGGGCGTACTCCCGTAAGGACTATGCCCACCTTGCACAACCCTTAACCCTAAACCTACTTTCTACGTCCCGGGGTTAAACCCTCAAACAAAACCGTTCAAATTGTCCTCAGCTTTTCCCAAGATCTCTTTTCCCAAGGGTCGATGTGTTTATGTAGTATATTATTGTTTGACCAGCATGTTAATGTATAGGAAACCCTTACGGACCCAGGATTTTCACTAGACCCGTAGGGGTTTCTATGGAGTTCCTGTATAGAAATCCCCTTTAGTAAGACCTAGCACTATGTATATGCTGGACTCTTAGGGCTTTGGGGTTAGAGTTGTGAATGGTCGGACAGTCAGGATTTGTCATGCGCCTTGAACCCTCGGGCCTGATAGCTCGAAACCCTACCCTTTATAAGGGTCCATGTACTCATCTAGTATATTCTTGGCCCTCCCAAAACCCTAACCCTGAACCCCTTTAAACCCTAAACCCATCTGTCATTATGTAATATGAGCACCTGCACACGGTAAGAACAGCCTGAATCTTCTTGTCTGCCGGGACGCTGCGCAAAATAGAAGCGGGAACCAATTCCGACCTTATTCCTTAGGGCTCTTTGCTACAGTAAGCAGAACATAATATACCCTGAACCCCTATTAAAAAATATGAAGGCCCCTATAATATTCTGATTGAAGTTCAGAGCAAGAACCCCAAGGGGTAGCAAAGTGAGGAATGCCGTTGGATATGGCAAGTGAAGCTAGCCCGCGAAAACGGTGGTTTACCAGCAGCCATTTCTGGGGTTTAGGAGCACTGTTGAGAGTAATATAACATGTTTTTAATGAGGTGTTACGCAAGGTTCCCAAATAACAATACAATAACAATGACAATCACAATTTAACAGTAGAATGTACTATGACATAATATAGGGGCCGAAATATCTGCCTATAGTATTTTGGGAGCTCCTCATTATAATTAGAGGATAATGGGCCCCCAAAACCCTATTCTAATTATGAAAGCCCCTATGTTGCCAAGCTTGCCGGGAACCTTCCCAGGGCTCCTGGGACCCCGCAAAAGGCTGCTCATCGCAACATCGGGGCCTCAATCAGTATCCCAAAGGGTCCATGTACCCAAATAGTATGTACTTTGGCCCCAAAGTACCTTTTTAGGGACTACTTTAAGGCCAAAGTATATACTATTTTGGTACATGGACCCTTAGGGTATGGTATGCTGTAGCTGCTATCATTGTGTGGAGGGATGTAGGAGGGTAGTTATCCCTAAACCCTAAGCTTTAAGTCCTAAACTAATATTTAGACCCCTGTGTCGTGTCAATACTCTTTACGGCTGCGCCTGAGTCACCCCGAACCGTAAACTCCTATAGCCCTGCACTGCCCCTCCAGCCCTAGACCTGTCAGCGTTCTGATAGCATGTGAAAAACCCAAACACGCATCAACAACTGCGAAGCCCAAACCCCTTCAGCCTACAGACGCTCTTCAACTTAACCTAGTGCCTGATACAGCCCCTGCAAATAAAACGTCAAAGGAACCCTGAAAGCCTGAAAGTAACACTTCTTGAACCCTAAACCCTAAACTCTAAACCCTAAAGCCTTTCAAAGGAACCCACAAAATCGTAGATCCAACGACCCTGAGGCTCTTGCCGTGGCAGTTCCGCCGGCTCCCCCACCAAAGCCGCTTCGGCAAAATGGCTGTGCCAACCCTTTAAGCTTTAGGAGTTTGGGTTTAGGAGTTTGGGTTTAGAGTTAGGGTTGAGGGTTCAGGGTTTCGGGTTTCTATCGGGTTTAGATTTAGGGTTCATGGTTCAGGGTTTACGGTTGTAATTTAGGGTTCAGGGCTTAGGGTTTAGGGTTGGGCCCAATACCACTTAATTAAGGAATATACTTCAAGTTATAAGAGCCTTAATATATTATATGGTTTCACGTAAATTGTTTAATCCGGGGGTAGTGGGCTCTCTTGGTCTAGGATTTTAAGTTAACCAAACAAAACCCTGACACTACAGAGAGAGTTTAGAGGCAAGTTAATGGTTCCTCAAATGTGTGACAGGTGAGTGTTAACTTCGGGTATTGCCCGTGGCTTTAAGTACCGCAGTTGCCTTGCATTCACCAGGTTGTGGGGGGGTGGGGGGGTGGGGGGGGGGGGCGGGTTAATGTACCTATACACTATATGGGTAGGTTTCTAAATCGGGGTCCTTTTGTCAGTCCCCAAAATACTGCGGCGCCCTTATACGAATATACGAAGCCAGAAGGATCAGACCCTAAACCCTGAACCTTATAAACCCTAAACTAAATTCCCCGCAACCAATCTCGAATCCTATACCCTACAAAGCCCAGCATTTCTGAAGCGCATGAGCACTTCGGCCCTAAACCCTAAACCCCTAAACCCTAAACCCGTAAATTAAACCCTTAAGCGGTTTCGGCCCACAGCCAGGGGCCAGGCCGAATCGGTCGAATTCCATTTAGTAAGGTAGGCCCCTGTCTCAGAAACCTAAAAGGTTTAGGATTTAGGGTCTAGGGATCCCTCGTTAAACGAGAAGGCCCTGCTGTTGAGGTGTGTTCGCTGGCACACAATCCAAGCCCATGCTGAAAAGGGTCTAGGGTTTAGGGCTACGGTACAGGATTTAGGATTTAGGAATTGATTGGGTTTAGGGTTTAGGGTTGGGGTTTTCGGAAATAGGGCCCATAGGGTTTAAGGCTAGGGCTGATAGGGTTAGCGCTCAGAGATTCTTGACCCTAAGCCCTGTAGGTCGCGATGCATCACGCGATCAGCTGCTCACTTCAGCTTACACACCCTAAACCCTAAACCCTAAATCCTTTCACCCTAACCCTCAAACGGATTT